TTTTTTAAAAAAAATTTTACGGATTGTACGGATTGTTTTTCGAAAATTGTACGGATTGTACGGATTTCTTCTGAAAATGTACGGTTTTTTGTACGGATGGGTTCAAAAAAGTTTTGGCCACCCTGCATTTCACTGTTTTTTGTTTCAGTGTTAACTTGGATCTTTTTCTAGGGTTTAAAGAGAGAATTTGCTACTGCGCTTCAGAGCAAACTGTGCAGTGTTTTCAAAACACATCTTTGCAAGGAAATCGAAGACAGTCTTAGGAACAAATATGTTTTGATAAATGTTATTTTAGGAAAGTAAAAACGAGTCTGAAAAAGAATTATGATGACTGAAGTTTTTTTTTGAATTTTGAATTTTTGATGAGCCAACTGTGAGCCATGATGAGCCGGGAGCTGCCGACCATAGCAGTGTTGATCGGTATGCACCTCGGGCAGATCATATTCACCTGTAGGACTGAGTCCTAAAAGCTTTTTACATCAGTATTTATTCAAATCCCTCTTCATTACTTAATTATCCTTCATTGGATAAATATTCTGTCATTTAGAAAAATTTTGGTTTTATTTTTAGATTTAATTTTCAGTAGTTTTTTTCCTTTTTTTCCTTTTTTTATGATTTCTTTGTTGATTTAAAGAAACTGTAAGCGTAATTTAATGTGACCCCCATGCAAAGATTTTATTGCCTGATTTTCAATGGTACCCTTGAAATAATCGCGCAAGTCAATTTCGCAGAGAAACCGCAAATGAAAAATAACATTTGAAAGAAAAAAAAATATTGATGTCTAATTCATACTTGAGCAGACAAAGCTTTCAAGGGTATCGTTGTAAATAAGTCTTTGCCATCTTTGCATGGAGGGTTACTTGAAATTACGCTTACTAGTTCCTAATTCAATAAATAAGTTTTAATGAATTTGTTGGTAGTGAGGATGGTTATGCGGACAAATTAAATCGTTTGGACGATATTATACATAATACCCTGCAGTCAGTCAGGTACTACACATAACTCAAACAGATGTATTTCAGTTATTTAGTGAGAACAGTTCATGTTTTCCCGAGGAAAGAGTCAACGGCATTTTTGTGGTCAAACTTTTTTAATGATAACACCTGGTCTACAGTTGGGATTTAAGAAAATTTATTGTTATGAGTTTATCAAAAACAATGATGGAGTTATTATTATAACTTCATATTTGTCATCTTTAAGTTATTTTTACTTCTTATTTCAGTGTTGCTGCTTGGAGACCAAGCAGTATTGATACGGTTGAGAATTCGGTGATTGCGCATGATCTTGAAGTGTCGTTGCAACACAAGGTATTGGATAATTTTTCATGCATTTGTTATTATTATTATTTTTGGCATTTTTTTTATTCTTTCATTGTTTTGGAATTAACAATTTATTATTAATTTTGGTTTTGTTGTTAATGTTATCTTAATTGCTTTTGTTCTTGCTATTGTACTGCGACTCTCTGTGCATAGTTCTAATTGTATTTTTTATCGTTGTTGTTGTTGTGATTGTTATATAATTGTATATTAAAAGTTGTAAATGTTTTCAACATGGTTTAGTTTAGAAATAGGCGAGGGGGGTGGTTGTATAGTTTAAAATTTTTAAAAACCAATAATTACTAAATTTGCAAAATAATGTTAAATTATGTTTACATATGAATGCCGTGTGATTGAAGGATTAATTAAACCTAGGATGATCATTTTTGGTACTTTTACTTGACAGTTCAAATAATGAGTTTTCTTGCCTGGTTAATTGTATCCATAATTTACCAGATTCTTAATTCAATATAGAACTGGGGTGTATATGTATTGCAGTAACCCGTCTATAGGCTGATGATGAAAGATTTTTCTAAGGCCTTCTACGAAAGTAGAACCTAACCATTTCAAAATAATTTTAAGTCATCTTCTAATCTTGTATTCGTTCATGCCTAGGAAAAGCTGGGACTGCTGGTAGCTGAGGCTGAAGCTGAATGCCAGGAACTAGTTGAACAGATTCAGCTTACAGAACGGAGACTCAGAGATAACCAGGAACTAATCTTAATCTTAATCTTAATCCTAATCCTAATTCTAATCCTAATCCCAATCCCAATCCTAATCCTAATCCTAATCCTAATCCGAATTCTAATCCGAATCCTAATCTTACTACATTGCACGGAGAAAAACACGCAATGGACTTATTTAAAGTTCTCTTTTTCAATTTTTAGTGGTCAGATTTTGCTTTATAATAGATTTGTACATTTCTTTCATCTATTTTCTTTTCCTTTTAATACTTATTTTCCACACCTTAAAGGGAGTGTTTCCGAAAAAAGAAAGGGGGTACCTGGCTAATCCCGATCTGATATTTTTTATCTATTTTTATTTTTTTTAATATACGATTTACTTCAGACGACGAGTATTTGGCCACTAGGTGTCGCTCCCGTCTTTCCCAAGTGAAATCCCTACAATATCGAGAGCAAGAGACACATAGTGCCAAATAATCGTCTTACAAAGTACATTGTATATAAAAAAAAATTATGATATGTAAACTTACAACATAAAAATTCCCCGAATTAAATTCGATATTTATAACTTGTAATATCTTCAATGATTATTTTTAAATTTAATTGACTTGGGTCTAAGACGTTATTTAACCAGTTTCTCTTTTTAGGCAACCGATGGAATTAAAATTAGTTGCGATCAAAGCCGAATTCTATTCGGGATCAGCCTTTTGATTTTTCACGAACTCTCCCTTTAAAATACAAAAGTAAAATATTAAGTTGATACTTATGACAGGAAAATTTCTGAGAATTTTTGCGCAATTTAAATTCCAAATTTAATTTCGTTTTCTTTTCAAATGAATTTTTGAAGAAATCAGTTTCTTTGATGGCGGATTATTGGACAGTTATGCAGTATGTACATTGTACAGTGCAGTGTACACCAAAGCTGTACTCTACAGTGAAATATTCCCGGGTTAATGAAGATTCAATTTGAATAAAAGAATTGCATTGAAAGTCAACGAATACAAAAAAAGTTGGATTACAATTTTTTTTTCTCAATGAATCCCTTGTTTTAATAACACGTGTATTGAACCGGCTATTTTTTTTCAAATAAATGAATCCTTTGTTTTGGAACAATTTTAGCGAGCCACCCTAAGAGTAGTTTATATCGTATTATCATGGATTGTGTTAAGAATTGTAAATTAATCTAGATCCTTCAAATAAATTTTCAATGAGTGTGGGCTGCTCATTAAGATTAGTTGTTTATCAGATTGTTCTCAATAACATGGAGAAGCTGTATTCAAATATCACGGAAAATATTGTCGTGGCTCAAAATGTCTCTGAGGGTCCAGATTTGGCATAGGTTATGAAAACAAATGTTTTTAAAACATTTGCTAGTTTTCTAAACATTTGCTTGTTTTACACTTTGCCAAATTTTTACCTTGAGAGCAAATAAATGCAAAAAAACCAAAAATGAACGTGTTAAAACAATAGTTTATTCATTATTTTAGGATAAAAGTATTTCAAAAATTAATTAAGTCTAACCAAATACAGTTTAGAAGCGTAGGAAGTTTTATTAAATTTGTTTTAAACAAACCAAAAACTGTTACTAACACCACACGTACAGGGTGTCCCACGAAACATGACAATAGCAAGACGACTTGAAAGTCGTCTTTGATATTTGAATTTATTTGTGACATTTAGTCTTCTATCTACTTTAACATGTTTGATTCTTGAAACAATTATCACATAATTCTCCTAGCCCTGGCATTTTCAAAAAGTGGTCTGCGTTTTTTGTGCTTTCAATATTACCGGAAATATATAGAGTTTGGTTCAGATTTCAATTTTGTTAAATAAAAGCAAACTTGTCGAAATCTGAACGAAATTGTTCATATCTCGGGCAATATTGAAAGCACAAAAAATTCAGACCACATTTTGGAAATGGCAGGACTAGGAGAATTTTGTGATTATTATCTCTAGAAATTTACTTCTAAAATTATATTGACAAATAAATGCAGCAAATTATTTCAAAATCAAGACAATATTCAAGTTGTCTTGCATACTGTCATGTTTCGTGGGACACCCTGTTTCTAAGATTTTATCACAAGGAATTTTTGTAAAATGTTTTTCTTAAAAAATGATAATTTTTTTAATCGGAAAATTAAAAAGAACCTCGATGCACGTTCAAAATCATTTTTATTCTTACGAAAATTTACTAATACGCTTTATATGTACCTGAAACAAATAGACAAATAAAGATGAACATTTTTTTTAAACTAAAATGATTAAAGAGAATTAGTTGAATTACATTGACTTCGTTGAACCACTTCTCTTCGACTTCAAGTGGCCACACAAGAGAAGTGGTTCAGCTAAGTCTACAATCTACATGGTAACTTCTACTTGCTTTTCATTATATCTTCACACTAGAACAATCATGCTTGTGTACTATTTTCCAGAGAATATACTAAATATATTTCAGATATTATGAGTATATTCTTTAATGCAGTATATAAATTGCGGGTTCAACTGTTTGGAGGAGGGAAAGGGGAACAAGTAAGTATTATTAAAAAATAAGTAATGATACGAATGCCTATATATATTTTTTAAGTCAACCTAAAATTACGCATTAAAAAACTTTTTTTCTTCTCAAATAATCCTGGGATCAAGTATTAATCTCCGTACTATGCAGACCAGCTGATCAATTATATTTCTCTTAGATATCCCGTTGTTGTCGTATTTGCAGGGTAACTTTAATTATTGGGATGGATGATTTTCAGCGTGCATAATAATAAGTGTTAGACATCAACTTTGGGAAGATCTAGTAAAATTGTAAAGAACCCGTTGCTAGTAAGAAATTTTAGAATATCCCTGTAAATGGTTCTATTTTAGAATATCCCTGTAAATGGTTCTATTTTAGAATATCCCTGTAAATGGTTCTATTTTTGAATGTATACTCATATGATTGCCAGAAGCAGAATATAAAGTCAGCTTTTCGATATCTTTCTAATTCCGGAAGTAAATTATGTTTCTGAATTAATCGACGTCTAGGAAGCTGTTGATGTGCCTGTGAACCGGAAACGGAAGTTGGCCGACGATACTTCTGGTTTTAATAAAAGAGCCAAGCTGGAAATGGAGAATATTGAGTGAGTGATTCACTTTTTTATGTTGATTTTTAATAATTTTTAATTTTCTGCAAGAATTATCTATCCTATCTTTTTTGACTTATCTTGGAGGAAATGTATAAAATTTAACTTTTTTTACGTTGTAAGCAGAAGCATTTTTTCCGGAGATTAAGGACAAATGAGAAATGTAGCTTCAACTTTCCCACCAGTTTATTTTCTAATATGAGCTAAAATTTGGAAATAAACTACCTGAAATAATTTTTAAAAGAATTTCTGACAAAATGAAAAATGAAAATTTAACTTGTTAACTATTTTTTCTGTTTTAAGTGCCGAAGAGGGTGTTACGATAATACCTGGGGAGAGTTGGGCAGACAAAACATGGAGTTTAGTTCGAAATATGTTTTCCCCAAGTAGAGAACCCAGGAAAACCAATGTAAGTGCCCGTGGGGTTTGTGTTTCCCCATGTAGAGTACCCAGGAAAACCAAGGTAAGTGCCCGGGGAATGAACTCATATTGTTGTGCAACACATTATGCATAGGAGGAGTACATCCTGTTTATACCCAACTCTGGAGTCTGAATAAGATCTTCCATAGCAATGCATTCTTAAGAGCAGGATAAGTTCCAGTTCCATTTGTGAGAGCAGGATAAGTAAAAAATCGGGATCATCGTGTACTTCATCCCTGATTTTTGAGTTTCTATATGCCTTTCACCAGCTGAGATGTTTGCCAGAAGCTGAAAATGAAGTTTCACTATTTATTTCCTTTATTCCTTTATCTTGTCTGGGATGAATCACGCATTCCACTCAGCGCCTGAACTTCTCCAAATCCTCAGATCCTGGGACCGTTTTCTTACCTGCTTCCGACTCCATTTTACTGGAAGGAACTTAGGAAGACCTCTCCTATAAGCGAGTAGGATTCGACTGCTGATAGTGCATTAAGTTGGCTTAACCAGGAATCTGGGCGCCCCTGACACTTTCACCAGGGATCTCGGCGCTCCTGACACCTTTTACATTGACGAAATATGTTTATCATAATCTGTTAATTACTTTCAGGGCAAAAAAGTTCCTCCTAAAATTTAGATTGCACAGTTTTAAGTTGAGGTTCATATTGCTAGGTGAAAACCTTGTTTTTCGCTGAACTGTGTCTACTCTGTCTACAGACCTTGTAAATTTTAGATTCGTCGGGTTCGGAAAGAGGATTTAAACAGAGATAGTCGGTTCATCAACCAGATACATTCTTCAGATACAATACAGGTCACTAAACTCAGGTTCATTTCAAGTACCGGGACGACTTTTAATCAGTTAGTGCAAGCTGTACAGTGTACATTACTTCACTACACATACAGACTATGAAAGACAAAACGTGACGGTTCGTCAAATGAATGTTCCCCTTCTAGTTAAATTTATGTCAGGAAGACGTTCAGACAGGTAGACTGGTAGACAGGTAGACAGGTCGACAGGTAGATAGGTAGACAGAAAGACAGGTAGACAGGTAGACAGGTAGACAGGTAGATAGGTAGACAAGAAGACAGGCAGACACGTAAACATGTAGACAAGTTGACAGATATGTTTAGACTAGTAGATACATACTACATAGACACTGGACAGGTAGACAAGTTGAAAGATTTATGTAGACAGGTAGACATGTTGACTGGATGATTCTGAAAAAAATAAAAATTTATCAATTAATTCTGAAATCATTTTATGTCCCTCTATTTAAAGAGTTACATGTCAGATTCACAATAATATTATAGAAACCTTTATCTAAGTATCATTATCTCTGTGTCTTAAAAAGAGATAAATTTGGTCTATTAGAAACCGCTGTTGAAGAAAATTTAAGACAAAAACGAGAACATTTCTATAATTTCGTTATCAAATCTGGCTTGCTATTGTCAAATCTTTAACATTTTGAAGCTACGTGAACACTGAACAGTCCCTTTAATTTGTTTTTGTTTTTGAGCTCCAACTGTATTGCATGGGTTGGAATCTCAGGTTCACTTGCATAAGGTTTGTTTACAAACACAAACTTTAAAATTACTGTTCTATTTTGGATATAATGAAAACAATTTTTCTTCAGAAATCTATTTTGAGCTTTATTTTATCAAAAATTATTTTTTAGATTTAACGGCCTTGTTATCGTATTTTTAGCATTCAAAATGCGAAACTTAAAGAAATATTTTACACGTGAACCTGTGTTTTTTTTTTGGCAAAAAAAGGGATTATTCCGAAAAATATACACCCCTGCTAAAACTGTGCATTTTTTTATAATAAGTTTTTTTTCAGAAATCTATTTTGAGCGTTTTTTATAATTTTTTTATTGATTTTAACGGGTACGGTTATCGTATTTTTACCAGTCTAAACTCTAAACGCAGAACTTATTTAAAAAAAAAGATTTTATTTTTACTTTTATTTTTTAGAAGACAAGTCCCTCCTCCTCGAATATTCAAGAGGTTGTTGATGTTGAAGACAATTCATCACAGGGTAATTATTAAACTAAGCTTTTTGGGCGCTTTGCGCTCATCTTTATTCCAACTTTTAATTCTGGCTCTATCCGGGAGCATCTTCTCTTTGTACGATATAAAACAAAAAACCAAAAAAGTTCGCGGATTGTTACTTACTTACTTGTTACTTGAAGAGGAACTTCTAAGGGACCATTTTGATCCAAGGAAGAAGTGTCAGCTTTACTGGTGACCCATACCATTTCCGAGAGCAGAGGTTTGACAGATTACTTCATCTGGGTAGGGGCANATCTAAAGATCAATCAGTTGAAATCATGGTTCAACATTGATTATATTCTCAAGTAGGAATACAATTTCAATAAGTTCTGTTTATTAACCTGCTTATGTTCGTGAGACAACCCTAGCCTCTTTTGGAGCCTCAAGAACTCCGGGTTACTGATCAACTCTTGATGATCAACTGGATCAAACAACTGCAATACAACTAATGAATTTGAGTCTTTATATGATCTCCGAACAAAGTTTGCTAACTATTTGTACCTTGAATGTCATTTGATTTAACGAGTCACTTCTTGAGATGGGAGGGAGTAAGTCTATAGTGATCTTGATCTCCCATGATCATCTGCAACATGACAGCCATTAAAACTCGAAAGTCGAAAGCTTGGGATTGATATAAATCATTTACAGAGTTACATTTAAATTGTGCCATTAATAGTTTCTATAAAATGCTTGTTGATAAACATGCTTGATAAAATACAGTTTCATTTCATATCGTAATTTTTAAAACACAGGTAGAAATTGCATTTAACATTATTTTAACTTGAATAGTGCAGGATTAATAAAAGTTTATTGTTCATATTCAATCACCCTGCATAGAAAGTTCTTGACAGGATCACACTGATTCACAAATCTTCTCACAGGCTGTAGTTTATCCTAGAATAATAGTTTAGATTTTACAGCATTTCCGTGGTTAGACGTTTCCGTGGTGAGACGTTTCCATAGCACCGTCATGTCACCTGCCTAATGCACCTGCTTAATGCATATAGAAATAAACATTAATCAATCAATCAATCAATCAGGGATTTGGACCCGATTGGTTCAGCGATTCAGACGTTCAGAAGTCTATTTTTTTTATTTGATTGGATACAATCGGAAAAAACAAACAGGCAGTCAGACAAGCAAAGTATATATAGAATTATTTTAATCGAGAGAGGGAGGGGGTGTATTGTAGATGATGATGTAAATTTTTAGGATTTTGTCGTCATTTTGGTATTTCGCATCAATTAAATCATATTTTAATGTAAAAATTTGTTTCTCATAGGGTTGGCATTTTCTTTAAAAAAATACACTATCTCCCACCATGAAAAATAGCGTAACATAGCATGTACTTTGTACGAGATTTTCAGAAGTTCATGCATTAAGATAACACACATAAGGGAAAATCAACTTTGTGAACAGTGTTTCATGTAGTTTGTATGGAGTACAGTGTACAATGTGCACTACAGTGTTAGGTAATTAATTTGCAAAGCTTACTCTGTAAAACATTGTACATAATGTACAATACGTAGTGGTAAATTTATATTATTATATAGTGAGGTCGATAGTAGGACTAAATCTCTGATGAATTGTTTGATTAATTGATTGTTTGATTGGATACTGTACAGTGTACGGTGTACAATGTACAATGTACATTGTAAAGTTTGTCAGAATATATCCAATCCCCGGGAAACATTTTACCTATGATGCGAAGGGATGTAGTGTATTGGTTACATTTTACAGCGTTACAGTGTGCACTTAGACGGTATTTATTAAATGTGCAGGTTCCTCCAATGATTTGACCGTATTTATTAAATGTGCAGGTTCCTCCAATGATTTGACCGTATTTATTAAATGTGCAGGTTCCTCCAATAATTTGACCGTATTTATTAAATGTGCAGGTTCCTCCAATGATTTGAACGTATTTATTAAATGTGCAGGTTCCTCCAATGATTTGACCGTATTTATTAAATGTGCAGGTTCCTCCAATAATTCGACCGTATTTATTATATGTGCAGGTTGCTCCAAATGATTTGACCGTATTTATTAAATGTGCAGGTTCCTTCAATGATTTGAACGTATTCATTAAATGTGCAGGTTCCTCCAATGATTTGAATTAAATGTGCAGGTTCCTCCAATGATTTGAACGTATTTATTAAATGTGCAGGTTCCTCCAATGATTCTGGAGAATCTTCTCGTTCTGTTTCAACCCTTGGAAACTTCGAATTCTCAAACTCTAACTTTAAACCTGGACCCAGTTCTATCGTTAAGGTATGCTCAATTTATTTAAAGGGACTGTAAGCGTAATTTCAAGTGACCCTCCACAACGGCACCCTTAAAACCTTTATCTAAACAATAATGTGGAAAAAATGTCGTTTTTCTTGGTTTAAAAATATATATGTTTAATGATTTCCATGTTTTTCTTTAGTAGAAATGTCCAAGTCACTTTTGTAGAGAAACCACAAATGAAAATAATCAGTTTTTAAAAGTATAAACATTGATAACTAATTCAGACAAAAGCTTTAAAGGGTACCGTTGTGTACGGGCATTGCCATCTTTGCAATAAAGGTCACTTAAATTTACGCTTATAATTTACTTAGTTCAGTTTTTATTCTTTCTTTTCCAATGAGATAGGTTATTAGTTTGAATATTTGATAATCGAAACTGAATGATTGCTTGGAAACGAATGATTGAATAATTATCGACGACAAACGGTTGATTGATTGATTTGAAGAATTTGTTGGTTTATTGTTTTTATTTTAATTGATTGATTGCTTGGTAAGAGGATTTTGGGTGATATAGGATTTGTCATTTGTTGTGATATTTATATCTTTAAAGTATATGAAATCTTCATGTAAAAATATTTATTTTGATTTGATTAAGCTTATTAAATAATTGGCTGATAAAGATTAATTGATTTATTTAGAGGTTTCATGTTCTGACGAAACGAGAGAAAGAGCTCCGCGCTGAACGGAATAAACCTGCAAACCTGACAGCAGCCCTCAAGTCAGGCACTAAGACTAAAAGGTAATATTTTTCAATGAGATTTTGAGGTTTGAATCAGTTGTTCAGTTCCTAGGAACCAAATCCACTGAATCAAAAATTGCTTTACTTCCTGAAGCCAGATGCACCTAAATCAGATTCTTATTCAGTTTCTAGGATCCGAATCCACTGAATCAGAACTTTTTTACTTCCTTTAGCCGGATGCACGTAAATCAGAACGTATTCAGTTCCTAGGATACGAATCCACCGAATCAGAACTTATTTGCTTCCTGGAGCCGGTTTCACTTAAATTAGATTCTTATTCAGTTTCCTGAATCCAATCAGAACTTGTTTCACTTCTTGGAGCCGGAAGCAAGTAAATCAGAAAGTGTTCAGTATCCAGGATCCGGATGCACGTACATTGTAACTTTTTCAGTTCCCGGGATCCGGATGTTCTAAATCAGGATCCGGATCCGATGGATCAGAACTCAGTTGTGTCAGTTCTGTTGCAGTTCCTTATGTTTAAAATCTAACTCTTCTATACTTCTAACTCCCCTGTTGTTTGTAGGGAAATCAAAGTTATACTAAAATGACGTCATTTTCTATACAAATAAATTTGATTTAACCAAATGTTGACCGTTTTTATTTTAGGTAAACCTTTTGTTTGTTTAGGAGTACATACAGTAAGATATTTGGTAAACACCGTCCTCGTGCTAGCTCTGGAGTCAATACTTGTATAAATATGGAGGTGAGATATTTAAAAAAAATTAGATTGTCGTTTCTATCATTTTGTCTGTTCGTTGTTTTTTTTTGTATTGAATGAACTTTTAAACCAAATCCATCAAATCAAAGCATATCATAATAGAACATATCATAATAGAACATATCCAACTATTAAGCATAATTCAATTATTGTAAGTTTTTATAAGAACTTATTAAATTGCAATGAGAGATTTCAAAAGTTCAATGATTCAAAAAATTATACGAGTAACTTTCCTAAAAGTGATTTATTTCGGAAATGTAAAATTTTGAATTTTTTTTTTATAAAATCGAATGTAAAATTTGGAAATTTTATAAAATAATCTTACAAATTTGTTTTGTTTGTATATGTTTGTAATGGTATGTTTTGTATGAGCTCCGACACAGGGATTCGACGCGCCCTGAAAGCATAGTATTTTAAGAATTCACGAATATTTTCTTGGAAAAACTGAATTTGTTTCAGGCAAGGAAGAACTACGAGAATCTACTGATGAGGAATACTTCAGCCTACCTTCCTTCAGTATTAGGTAGGGATGTACACAGGAAGTGCACAAGATCCGGACTTTCTGGACTCTGCATAAGAAAATTTTTCGGATCAATGGAACTCGATCCATTGGATGTGAATCATTCCAGCTCCGTGGATCAGAATCCTTGAAAAATGATGTAGTAAAATATCCACCAAAACTTACAAACTCTCATAACACACGTACTTTGGTGGCAGTCCCCTGGGCAGTGCTTAGGATCCGGATCCGCTGGATCCGCATTATTTTGGCTCTCTGGATCCGGATCCCGCAAAAAAATGCGGATCCACGGATCCGGATCCAAGCACAATTTTATTTTTCATTATGTGCAAAACTGCGTTATTTTTCCTTAAAAATATCTTATTTTGAATTGTTTAACAGATTTTAAAAATATTCTCAGGGTCTCAGGTTTCTATCTTGCTCAAATCTTAACTCAGACCTCCACCGTGCACCCCCCCCCCACCCCCTTTAATAACTAGAGGGGGGGGGGAGAAGTCTCCCTTTTCCCCATTGCAACTAAGCAAATTCAGTCTTCACAAATTAAGGTGTAAGGATGTGTAAGAGTGAGGGGGAAAAGAGAGGGGGCGCACATATGCTAAAAAGATACAGATGCTAAGGAACATCTTGTGTTCCCAGTATAAAGAGACTGTTCTCGGCCCTGAAGATATTCAAATCAGACCTAAGGAGTTGCCTGAAGGCAGATATCCCAAACGCACTCCTTCTACTAAAAGCTAATATGAATTAGACCTGTTTTTTCATCCAATAAAGTAAAAAAAATATCATTATCATTTTGTGCAAACTAGTAGAAAAATAGTATTAAAAAATGTTAAAATGTTAACATTTTTTTTAGGTATGAAAAGACATTTGAACTAAAATAAATTTTTTTTTGATCAATGACCTGGTTCCGGATCCGGATCCGGATCCTGACCTGGATCCGGATCCATTTTTTTGAAAAGCGGATCCAGGATCCGGATCCGGATCCGGATCCGGATCCGCATCAAAATTAAATGGATCCTAAGCACTGCCCCTGGGTAAAGGGGAACTACATCAGGGTGCCGGATTAAACGTCCGATGTCGGTCTTGGGATTTCACATTGGAGATCTGCCACGATTATTTTTTAAATTAAATTAAAACCATGAAAAGTAACTAGACGTGTAAAAAAGTTCTCGCCTTAATAATATTTTTTAAATCTTCTCTGTTGACGGAACTGGAAGCGTAATTTCAGTAACCCTACATTCAAAGAAGATGACAATGGCCGATTCACAACGGTACCCTAAAAACCTTTATCTGATCAATTATATGAAAGATATTTTCCTTTTCTAGGTTTAAAAGTGTTAAGTTCTGATCATTTTTATATTTTTTCCTGCATTAGAATTGCGCAAGTCACTTTAGTAAAAAAAAAACACAATTAAAATGATCAGATTTTAGAATTATTAACATTGATATCTGATTCATACTTTATCAGAAAAAGCTTTTAAGAGTACTGTTGTGAATCGCGCATTACCATCTTTGTATGGAGGGTTACTTGAAATTATACTTATATTTTCTTCAAAAGATTTAGAAAATTCTAAAGAAATATTAAAAGTTCCTTTAAATCAATATTATTATTTTAGGTCGGGATAGAACGTTTTCAAGTCTGTTTGCTCCTAATAAAGAACAGCGTAGTACATTCTTTACCCCGAGTTCAATAGATCTAGAAAGGTTAGTTTATGGCTTATTTCTTCAAGGCTGGATCCATTATATTTAGGATACAAGGCCCCGTCCTCTCGTGGTTCTCTTGGACCCACTCTACCTTCTAAAAAGATCCCCATTGTTAATACTTTTACAGGCTAAGGTTATATAAGCCATTTTGTCAAGGAAAATGGCTCATTTTCAGAAGGAAGATAATTTCAAGTGACCCTCCATGCAAAGAGAGGAATGCCAGATTTACAATGGTACCGATTAAACCTATGACTCATCACAGAGGGCGTAAAACTCCGAATATTTATATCTTAAATAGTTTTTAAACCGAAACATTAGCGTGTATGTTAGTGTACAGCGTAATTTATGTTAGTGTACAGCGTAATATATGTTGGTGTATAGTGTTATGTATGTTAGTGTATAGCGTAATGTATGTTAGTGTAAAGCGTAATGTATGTTGGTGTACATTGTAATGTATGTTGGTGTACAGCGTAATGTATGTAGTTGTACAGCGTAATGTATGTTGGTGTACAGCGTAATGTATGTTAGTGTACTGCGTAATGTATGTTTGTGTACAGCGTAATGTATGTTGGTGTACAGTGTAATGTATGTTGGTGTACATCGTATTGTATGTTGGTGTACAGCGTAATGTATGTTGGTGTACAGCGTTATTTGTTGGTGTACAACGTAATGTGTGTTGGTGTACAACGTAATGTGTGTTGGTGTAAAGCGTAATGTATGTTAGTGTACAGCGTAATGTATGTTGGTGTACATCGTAATGTATGTTGGTGTACAGCGTAATGTATGTTCGTGTACAGCGTAATGTATGTTGGTGTACAGCTTAATGTATGTTGGTGTACGGCGTAATGTATGTTAGTGTACTGCGTAATGTATGTTGGTGTACAGCGTAATGTATGTTGGTGTACAGCGTAATGTATGTTGGTGTACAGCGTAATGTATGTTGGTGTAAAGCTTAATGTATGTTAGTGTAAAGCGTAATGTATGTTGGTGTAAAGCGTAATGTATGTTGGTGTACATCGTAATGTATGTTAGTGTACAGCGTAATGCATGTTAGTGTACAGCGTACTGTATGTTGGTGTACAGCGTAATGTATGTGGGTGTACATTGTAATGTATGTTGGTGTACATCGTATTGTATGTTGGTGTACAGCGTAATGTATGTTGGTGTACAGCGTAATGTATGTTCGTGTACAGCGTAATGTATGTTGGTGTACAGCGTAATGTATGTTGGTGTACAGCGTAATGTATGTTGGCGTACAGCGTAATGTATGTTGGTGTACATCGTAATGTATGTTAGTGTACAGCTTAATGTATGTTGGTGTATAGTGTAAACTTGTTTATTATTCACTATTCAGTGTCTAACGCGGGTTTTTAAAAATTCGAATGTAAATATTTATTTTCTGCGACTTGACAAAGTAAATATTAATATTTCTCAAAAAAACATAGGGTTCAACAACTACGCGCGTTTCTGTAGATAAATTGGGATACGTCCATCATTCTCAAGTCAAAGGTCAAAAAGGTACTTTTGTGAATCGGATACGCCACTCTGCAACTTAATGTTCACTTAAAGTTATGCCTACAGCCCCTTTAAGTGTAAAGGTTGTGTATGTTTTAATGAAAGAAATTTAAAATTAGAAGTTTAATTGTGAAATTGATTCTTGCCACCTGAGGTCGGTGTATAGTAAATCTCTTTTGTTTATTAAAAAATAAACACTTACTTGAACGTTTCTAGTTAAGAGTTTCCACTGTGGATATCAAGAATGTAGATTAGCGCATTCTCACACAAAAGTTCCAACCTAGCACAAATTTGTTGACAAAGAAAAAGCTGAACTTGACAAAATTGCATGAGCTTTTTTACAGGACGGATCTAAGAATCGGCTCCGATTTCCCCCAAATTTGTTTAAGTGTTAGTTTTTCCTTCATTATTATTATTATTATTATTAACAATCAACCTACAGACAAAGTACAACGACCTGTAGGTTGAAATACAATGAAGATAGGGTTGAGCTCCGCCACATACCCTGGTCTATATGGGATCTAGTGGTTCAGTCCTGGCCTGAATTTTAAGGATTCAGTGTGTATGCCAGGAAAGCATGGATACTAGGGGAAAAATAAAAGGGATGCTTAAAAAGCATTGACAGAATGCGGTACACACCTCCGCTGGGTTGAATAAGAACTTTTGTTTTTTTTCTTTTTTGTTTTAGCTTTATAAATCTCTTCTGAGCTTGGCTACTACAGGGCATTTAAAGATAACATGTTGTTCCGTTAATTTAATATTGTGGCCCTTTGATTCGCAGTGTGGGCAGACATCATATTTGAATCCATATCGGTTTTTGTACCTGTTACCCAACTGAGCATTTCCGCCCCTGACTTGGCATCGAATTTTACTTGATTTAGCGTCATTAACATGGGTTTGAAGTTTAAACCAAGTCCAAGGTTTGGGGGTTGTATTTAAAATGGAGTGTTGTCTTTTAACATTCATTACAAATGCTACTGCTTTTTGTGTAACTGCAGCTTGTAGGAGCTGTTTATTCTTATAATTAAAAAATATTACCCACCATTATTTCCATTTTTATCCATGATTTTGTCCATGTGTCTGACTGGGTTATCTAGTTGCTCCCTTAATATTTTTAACAGTGTGAGATTATTTTTGGTTTTAAAAATATCATAAATAAAACCAGCCTGTCTTAAATATATTCAATACTGCATGGCATTAATCAGGCGTCTATCCAGGCTAGTGCTCTTGAAGTTGAAGCAGGAACTCGAAAATAAATCGTCATACCCTATTTTGTATCCTTTCAAGTTCTACAATTGCACTTTTTTAACTGATAAAGCTTCTACACAGTACAATATTGCTGGGATAGCACATGTTTCCCATATTCTCTTAGCTATGAGAGCTCTATAATCCCTAAAATAATCCCATAACGCTTTTCAATTTTCATCTAAGGTTTCAGCCTTTTCTTTTGAAAATAAGCTCTAAACATTTTCTCCTGTGTAAGTAATATGCAACACAATAAATTCCAGTGAAAAGAATAAAAATTCGTAAAATATTCCCGGATTAAGATTATCCCAGGGGTAAATACGTTTTGAACTAAATACCCCTTTATAAAATGAAGAAGGGGAAATACTATTAAAAATATATACCCCTGGATTACCCGGGCTTAAAGAGAACACAAGAAGATAACATTTTATTAGAATTAGTAGTAATTACGTTTTTTTAAAATTTGTTATAAAACCATTAAAGATTTTTTGTCGTTGTTTGACTATTTTTTTACAGAATTCTATTGTTCGGTGGTAATGAGTATTACTTTGCAACAATCCATGTTTAGAAGATTTCTCTTATTTGCTCCGCCAGGAACCTGATTATGATAATCAAAACATTAAAATAAACAAGTTTCTTGGTAGAATGCTTGATCACTGATAAGTGATCTGTGATTTTGTTCCGTCTTATGTCTGAAAATATAACTACTTCCTTTAAATTAGTTAAACAATTTTTTTAAATTTTTTTTTTATTTCTAGAGAACGAGAATAAGCTCTTTAGAAGAAGAAAACAGCACCAAGGAAAATAAAAAAAAATTTGACTATAGTAAAAAAAATCAAAAAAATTTGTTAATTTTGAATCTTAAGTTGAAGACCAATGTATCATTTACTCTCAGACAAATTATAATCAATGGAAATTTAAACCCCCGAGGGATTCAATGATAAACCCGAGGGCGCAAAAAAATGATATTTTTAAAGATTTTTTTCAGTGTTTTTTTAAAAAATTTCTTTACGGAAAGACAAATTATAATATTTTTTTTAACAACTTCAGGAAGTTTATTCCAAAAAGTTTTTGTCCTCACTGAATGAAAAATATGGTCAGAATAAGCGAGAAATTGAAAGGTAGATTTAAAAAAAAATCTATGAATAATTACTTGAACAATTAAAATTTCACTATTTTAAGTAAACCTAGCTTAACAATTCCAGAAGTTTACAATCGTTGATTCACTTGTTAATTTTAGATTTATTTGATAATAATGTCAAGTTCCTTTATTTTATTAAAGAATTTATGCAGTTTCTTCTACCCACTTCTTTCAAAACCGAAAAAAAAGATAATGATTTTTCGAAGAAGAGAATGATCTTATAAAATGGAAAAATTGGTTTCAACGTTTTGAATATTATGAATTGTAAACCATTGAATAAAGTTTGTTTCTTATCTGCAGTTTGATTTTGGAATCCAAATTTGGTTACTAAATTACATCCATACAGAATATTTTTAATTGGTTTGAATTTATGTGCATTGATATATTTGCAAAATCTTCCATTGGAACTAGAGCAAACTAGTTTTTTAAACTTTTATTAGAAAAGTAACTTGAATCATCTGGGGAAATTGGAATTATCATGTTTTTCTTAGGAAAATTCGAGTTGAGGAAACAAAAAAGGAATTTCTCGCCGCAGAAAATCAGAAGCAGTACGAGGTATGAATTTAAAAAATTGATTTAACAGATTTTGTATATTGTTTGGTTAGAGAGGCTGTCAAAAAAACATAAGACTGAACTAAAATTGCATTCCTTATATTTAAAGCAATTACTTAAATTTTTGCAATCAAGATTGTTGAAATTTGCAATGCTTAGTTTTAATTTTGTGACAAATATAATTTTCATTATTTTTTTAAAGATAGTTTTAGTTATCTATTTTCTTAACGTTTCACCCCAAGGAGAAACCTATTTGTTCACGTTTTTAACGCTAGGATAAATTAATAAGTTTTTGTTACTACAGCTGTGAGGAATTTATTGGTTTATGTTATTACCTCTAGGATGATTCTATTAGTTCGTGTTATTACCGCTAGTAGGAATCTTTTGGTAATGCTATTGCCGGCTATTACAGCTATGCGGAATTTATTAGTTCATGTTATTACCGCTATGAGGAATTTATTAGTTCATGTTATTACAGCTATGCGGAATTTATTAGTTCATGTTATTACCGCTATATGAACGACCCCTTTTCTAACTTTTTTCAGTCGTTCAAAAAATTGATGTCGGCTGCAGCTAGGAGTAGGACCCGAACGCACAGCCCCTATCCTGTCCTACTCCTAGCTGTGAGGAATTTATTAGTTTATGTTATTAACTCTAGGATGAATCTATTAGTTCGTGTTATTACCGCTAGAAGGAATCTTTTGGTAATGCTATTGCCGGCTATTACCGCTATGTGGAATTTATTAGTTAATGTTATTACCGCTATGCGGAATTTATTAGTTCATGTTATTACCGCTATTAGGATTTTATTAGTGCATGTTATTTCTGCTAGAAGGAATCTATTACATGATGCTATTACCGCTAGGAGGAATTTATTAGTTCATATTATTACCGCTATGAGGATTTTATTAGTTCATGTTATTACCGATAGGAGGAATTTATTAGTGCATGTTATTACTGCTAGGAGGAATCTATTACATGATGCTATTACCGCTAGGAGGAATTTATTTGTTCATATTACCGCAATGCTATGAGAGATTAATTAGTTTATTTTATTACGGCTATTAGTGTAATGATATGAAATGTAATTGAGCCGAATTTATTTGTTATCATTATTTTACTACTAGGAGGAATTGATTAGTTCTAATTATTTTACCGCTAGGAGGATGTAAACCAAAGAGTACTTGCGTACCTTAAGTTGACCTCTACCGAACTTGAGGTCGAGGAAGAGGAGGAGGAAGAGGTAGAGTAATAAAATCCTACAATATGAATCCTTGATCCGGCTTTCTTTCTTCATTCTCTTTTATACTGACTACTGATAATATAATGGAGTGTTAAATGTTTGCCAATAGTTAAAATTAGAAATAGACTATTCACGGAGAAAATTATTCAAGTAAATCAGTATTAATATTATAAACATATTAAAACCTTATCAGAGACCCCCTTGAAAAGTTGGGAGTCGATCCCAACTGTAGAAAAATAACAACATGAATCGGGTAAACAAACTAGAAATTGAGATAGAAATATATTTCTTATACATAGTATATATGCTTCTAATTGCTCCTTAAACACACAAATAATACAAAAATACATTAGAGAAATTTTAAAAATTGAAATTAAGTATAAATGTAAATATTCAAGATATCATTATAAAACAGACTTAAATTGAGGGGGTAAAATAAACAATTCAAGTAAATCTATTATATCCAAACCAATCTGTAAGTGAGCTTCAAGTTTTTACCAGAAACTTGTTTTTGTTAAAGAACTAATCAAAGCAACAAACAGGGATTAATATTTTTCCTATAATCTTCTAAGAAAAAGAAAGATCATAAAATTCTATCTTAAGAAAACTAATGAAAACAAAAGAATTTAAACCCTGCTTCTGTATTGTGTAAAGACTAGGGATGTCCCTTCCCTGATCTAAATTGAATTGCAGGGTGAGGTCGAACTTCCGGAAATAACACCGGAAATGGAGGATATTATCAGATCTTCAAATAGTGCAAGGTAAAGTACAAGAGAGAGATTAGAAACTAATGTTTGCAAACATAACCAACCCTGCAACAAATATAAATTATAAATCCACCTTTCCTGAGATTAAGAAGAACTATTAATTAATCCTCTCAGAAAATAATGTTAATTTCTTTACGTTATGGTCAAAAAAGTTGTAGATATTAGAAAAATAACGTTACATTTCCACAAAACGCTAACGTTGGGGGTTTGTTCCTCTAACGTTAACGTTCAACGTTAACGTTAGGTATGAACTCCTATAACGTTAACGTTTAACGTTCACGTTATATAGAATACATCCAAACGTTACACATTATTGTAACGTAACGTACAAAAACGTACATTTTACGTTATGTTACACTATCGTTGACATCTCTAATGGGTAGTAACATACTTTAAATAATTGACTTTTTTGTGCAAATTCAAAATTAAATTTTTTTTAAGAAAATTAAAGTAAAAATGTTTTTTAAAAATGCAAATTTAGCAAAATTTTGAAATAACCTTAGAATTTTAAATTAATATGGAAACTAAACTATAAGGAAAAATTGAAATACTGAAATAGAATTTTAAAAAGTTCAAATAATAACTGGTCTAAAACATGAATGAATGTTGTTATGTAATATCATATAGAAAATATCTCTTGCAATCCAACACTAACAAGGTTGATATCAATGAAATACTAAACTAGTGAAGTATATTTTATATCTGGATATATCAATCCAAAGACAGTTGAAATATATGATGTTCTTGCTTTTAAGAAACTTTTTTTAAATCGTGACAAGTTCAACAATTCAAAACTTGCAATTTTAAGTTTTTATTCTCGAGAGAGAAAAATTATTTATTTTCTACCTTGAACACGTAAATGCACTCAAGGAGTTGTAAAATGAGAAGAACTGAACAAAATTAACACAAATTCAATTTTACAATAAAAGAAAAAGGTTTCCCATGTTCAGAGAATACCATTAGTCCTTAAATACATAAAAAATCTGGATACAATTTCAAGTCTAAGTCTAGGGCTACTTCCGGATTCAAGTTCAAGTCCAGGTCAAAGTCCAAGTCAAGGTTCAAGTGAAAGTCAAGGTCCAAGTCTAGGTCAAAGTCTAGGTTACGGTCAAAGTCCATGTGAAGGATAGACTCCAGATCTAGGTCGAGGTTAGGGTCAAGGTCCAGGTTAAGGATAAACTCCAGATCCAGGTCAAGGATAGGGTCAAGGTCAAGGTCAAGGCAAAGATCCTCATCACGGTGTGGCGTTATTTCTGGGTAACCGTCAAATAATGCTAGTAGATTCTACGCAGCAAATTTTCTGCGGCATCCGTGCATATGTTTGCAGTTTACGGCAATGCGCACAACAGAAATCTGGTATTTTATCTGAAATTTCAAAATTAGAAATTATATTTACACAGCTAAAATATACACTATATGCTGATATTATAATGTGAGTACAGAAGTAATTATAACTATATACAGTAAACTCTTATTAGCTGCAAGTATCAGAATCTTAACATTTAACTTACGTAAACAAAGCTGTAATATCGATCCCTAATGTTAAAACAATTGATTTTTAATGTCTGTCACTCAGCAAAACTTGATTGATTCTCAAATATGAGAAACACTAAATCACTTAATTTACTCTTTACATTCACAAAATTGTGCGTGATTGCCGCGGAAAATTTTCTGCGTAGAGCCTAATTCCATTATTTAACGTTTACCCATAAATAACGCCACAACGGTCCAGGTAAAGGTCCAGTTCAAAGTCAAGGTCAAGGTCAAGGTCAAAGACAAGGTCAAGGCCAGATTCAGGTTCATTTCAAGGTCAAAGTGAAAGGTCTAGGTGAAGGTGCTTGTTCAGATTCAGGTTCAGTCCAGGAAAGGTCCAGGTCTAGGTTAAGGTATGGGTTTAGGTCAATGCCTGGGTCACGGTTAAAGTCAATATAAAGGGCAAGGTTCAGGTTAAGGTCTAGGTCTTGACTAAGGTCAACATAAAGTCTAGGTTTAGGTCTTGGTCTATGTCTATGTCTTTGTCTATGTCTATGTCTATGTCTATGTCTATGTCTAGGTCTAGATCTAGGTAAAGGTTAAGGTCAAGGTCCAGGTCTATGTTTAGGTCAAGGTTAGGTCTAGGTTAAGGTCTAGGTCTTGGTTAAGGTCAACATAAAGGACAAGGTTCAGGTCTAGGTCAGGCCAAGGTCTAGGTCTAGGTTGCCTATCATCAAGAGACTTCTGCGTATTTATTTATAAAAAAAATAATTATATTTTCAGTCATGCTTAAAATTGGGGAGTTTTTGTGTCTTCAATGGTTAGAATAGCCATCTTCATTATTTGTTAAATTATAATCTTTAACTGCAAATTAACCATAATTTAGTTAAATTTCTAGTAACATTTGTTTGTTGCAATTCTAGTTTAAATATTCATAATATTCATAACATCTCCCCCTAGCGCACATTATCTTGGTAAACTTGAACAAATATTGAACTTGAGCAAATATTAAACAAATAAAATATGTTAATTCTGGTTTTATGATCGTTAAACTACATCTAGAATACATTTATTTTATGTAATATTTTTGGAAATATAGAGTTTTATTAAAGGGATTGTCAACGTAATTTTAAGTATTCCAATTTACAACGGTTTCTTTTTCATCCTTGTCAATCGTTATTAGATGAGAAATCCTTGTTTTTCTATTAGAAAATGATAAATTTACAGTGGTTACCCTGGAAAAATGACTCGTGAATTTAAGATGTTGTGAAATTTAAAGATTTATAGATTGAAAATATTCGTAGATGAACAACGATATCCTCATCATTATTACTAGAGAAGATAAAGAGGTTAAAGGATCCTTTTGAAATCAAAGTTTGGGAAGAAAATTGACGAAACTACAAATTTCTCCTCTCGTCATCTAAACTTTCTGAAACAAATTGAAAAACTTTGTAAAATTTACGTTTTGCATAATTTAAAAGAAAGTTGAGAAATTCTTTTATTCTGATCTGACTTCAATCTTCTTTCCTTTCATACTAACCCGCCTTTACAATTCATCCCTATTTATTCTAATCCGCCTTCGGTCTTCATCCCTTTCATTCTTTCACCTTCAATCTCATCCCTTTCATTCTAGATCGGCCTTCACGTCACATCCTTTTCATTCTAATCCGCCTTCACTCTTCATCTCTTTCATTCTAATCCGCATTCGGTCTTCATCCCTTTCATTCTTATTCACCTTAACTCTCATGCCTTTCATTCTAATTGGCCTTAACGTCTCATCCCTTTCATTCTAATCCGCATTAACTCTTCATCCCTTTCATTCTGATCTGTCTTCACTCTTCATTCCTTTCATTCTAATCCGCATTTGGTCTTTATCCCTTTCATTCTTATTATTCACTTTTACTCTCATCCCTTTCATTCTATTCGGCCTTCACGTCTCATCCCTTTCATTCTAATCCGCCTTCACTCTTCATCCCTTTCATTCTGATCTGTCTTCACTCTTCTTCCCTTTCATTCTAATCCGCCTTCACTCTTCATCCCTTTCATTCTAATTCGCCTTCGGTCTTCATCCTTTCATTCTTATTCACATTCACTCTCATCCCTTTCATTCTAATCGGCCTTCACGTCTCATCCCTTTCATTTTAATCCGCCTTCACTCTTCATCCCTTTCATTCTGATCTGTCTGTCTTCACTCTTCATTCCTTTCATACTAACTCGCCTTTACAATTCATCCCTTTTCATTCTAATCCGCCTTCGGTCTTCATCCCTTTCATTCTTATTCACCTTCACTCTCATCCCTTTCATTCTAATCAGCCTTCACGTCTCATCCCTTTCATTCTAATCCGCCTTCACTCTTCATCCCTTTCATTCTGATCTGTCTTCACTCTTCATCCCTTGCATTCTAATCCGCCTTCATTCTCATCCCTTTCATTCTAATCCGCCTTAACTCTTCATCCCTTTCATTCTGTTATACCTTTTGTTCTAATCCGCCCTTCACTCTTTCTTCAGTCTTCACGCTTTTCATTCTTATATTTTTATATTCATCTTTATCCGAATCCAAAGGGATCCAGAAGGGGGTGGCGGTCTCTGCCATCATTTTTGGTTCAAATGATCCAATTTTTTGGCCGCACGCCTAATAAGTGATTTTTCCCCCCCAAAAACATTGACACTCATGACCTTTAATGCCATCTAATGACCTTTAATGATGTTGACAATAAGAAGATGGTTTCAACTTTGGCTTATGAAACGAAAGTGAGGAACCCAGGCAATACAATAGTAGCAACGAATTCAGTGTTTGACCTTCTAATGACCTGAAACGACCTCTAATGACCTTCAAATTGGCTTAATGTATATCATACGAAAGCTAGGAACTCAGGCAATACAGTAGTAGCAACGAATTCAGTGTTTGACCTTCTTATGACCTCTAACGACCTATAATGACATCTTATGACCTCCAATGACCTTCTTATTCGCTAATTTTCAACCCTGACTTTTTTGACCATTTACACATTTGGACCGACAGTTTTCCCCTTAAATCCGAATCGTTGGATTTTTACATTTTCCGGATCCGGATCTCAAACTTCTGATATTGTAAATGATTGTAATATTTGTTCTAGATGATCGTAGCTAGAGGCGGGAAGGATAAGTTCTGTCAAGTTTATGCTTTCAGCACATTTTTCTACTCAACATACAAGGAACCAGATTTTAATCAAATAACAGTTAAACTGATTACTCACCTTAGTCTTGAGTTTTCAAATTCTTAAATTTATTTTCTAACCTGGGTTTTAATTCAATGAACTTGAGTTAGGGTCTCTAAACTACCTACGGCTAGTTTAAGTCTTGAATCACAGACCTTCAGCGACCATGCTAAAATTCATTAAATTCGGTCGCTGATGTCGTAGAAGTGTCAAGGCTATAAACATTTGAAAATCATGTCAAGAGTTCAGATTTTCGAAGTGAAAATTTTATTTTTCATTTAATTTTGTTCCCTGTTCCAAAGCGTAAATAAGTTTTTTCTTGATACTATCCTAATCAAGGCATAATTGACTTAATATTGATCCTTATCCTATTCTTAATTCTTATCTTATGTTTAATCTTAATCCTAATCCTATTCCTAATCTTAATCTTCATTTTAATTTTAATCCTTAACTTAATCTTAGTCTATGTCCTAGTCTACGTCTTAATCTTAATTTTAATCTTAGTTTTTCATTATAATCTAAATCTTGGTCTTAATCTCGATCTTAANAACCTTAACCTTAACCTTAACCTTAACCTTAACCTTAACCTTAACCTTAACCTTAACCTTAACCTTAACCTTAACCTTAACCTTAACCTTAACCTTAACCTTAACCTTAACCTTAACCTTAACCTTAACCTTAACCTTAACCTTAACCTTAACCTTAACCTTAACCTTAACCTTAATCTTAATCTTAATCGCAACCAAAAATCTTGGATGATCAGGATAAAGGGTACTCTAGTATAAGACGGTGGACTAAAAAAACTGATATCTTCGCTCAGGATATTGTATTCATCCCTGTAAGTATCATTATTATTACTGTTATTATTTTTCATTTTCGTATGTACGTTTTGTCAAAAGAACACTTTTAAAGAATGTTGATTTATAATGCGTTTTTTACATAATTTAAAAGTCTAATTTTACTATAAAAAAAAGATTTTATGTTTGCTTTCAATTTTAAAAATCTAAATGAATTAATTTTAGAACATTTTATTTTCTTTATTTTTTGCTCACTGCAAAGAGATTGTAAATTTTTATACCAAAGAATTGAAGTCTTGAAGAGTTTGGAACTTTTTTCAAACACTTCAGAAAACGCTAATCTTTAACTTTTGTGGCCTAACGGATTAAGTCAAATACTTTGGATAAAGCATGAGGAATCCGAAGCCATAATCTGATCTTGTTTGGCTGATCAATTTATATTAACTTGTTTAGGTACACTTGGGAATGCACTGGTGCCTTGCTACAATCGATTTGAAGAAGAAAGAGATAAACTACTACGACAGGTCTGGTTGGCAAAAATTGTTAAAAACTAGAAAAAATACAGTGAACGTTCCCATAATATTATCAATATTCATTATCACGTTGAACATTGGAATTCATTCATTCGATACTCGTTTTGTGCACATAGTCAAATGCACAGTGCAAGAAAAGCAAATGCTTATAACAAACAGTTTTGTATTTTGTAAAACTTCCCAGCTTTTTTGTGCAACCTCTTAAAAGTCCAAAACCTTAAAAGTGCACTATCAGTGCATTATACAGTATACATACACCACTGGCCTGAAAGTGATATTTTTCCCACGATATTGGAAGGATCATTCATTTGTTTAATATTCTTATTTTCTTGGAATTAGGAAATATTACTTTCTCTGAAGATGCAGAATTTTAAATTTATTATTTTAAATTAGATATTTACAAAAAGAATAATCAGCGCAAAATTTTTCTGATTATTGAAAATGTCGATTTCTTTAATGAAACATATCAGAGCTTATTTTTTTTGGCAGAAATCTATGATTTATTTGTCAAAAAATATCTCAATTTTCTCTTTTTAGCCAAGGCATACTTTGTGAATTCTTAATGTAAAATGGCACTTCAGATAGAGTGATACATAACTTAAGTGGGTCTTTTTATACAATTGCTGTGTAAAGTCATAAGTTGAGTTTAAAAGTCGACTTCCTAAAATTTTGTTGACAGTTCCATTAAGTTTATAATATTTAGTATGGGCGGGAACAATCAGCAGTGTTTGGATCTTCTCTTTAAATACTTAAAGGAAGAACACCAGGACAAAAAGAAGGTTGGCGACATCTGATAGTCTGATTTTTCATTTGTCTCTTTTATTCGGATTCTTTAAAGTTTTAACTATATCATAATCTTATTTTACGTGTTATTTCTAAGTCTGATTTTATTGTTTTTGTTAGTCTCATTTTTATAGTCTCTTTTAGTCTTTATTTTTTACAAGTCTATTATTTATACGTTTAGAGTGATTTTTTCTGTCTGTCTCATGTGGTTTTTTTAGTCTGATATTCTGAATAAATATCAGTTTTTTTCTCTCTTGGTCTCTATTTTAATTTAAAATTTTCTTTTGTCAATTATTGTACTTCATTTTTATTTATTTTTCTGATTTTCTTTCTCTAATCTGATTTTTATATTTGTTTTGAATTATAGTCTGAGCTGAGTACTGAAGGGTGGAAGCTGACCCTTGTGAAAGGAATCCCCCAGCAGATGAACGGATCTGATTGCGGAATGTTTGCGTGCAAGTTCGCAGAATATTTATCTAGACGAGCCAGGATATCCTTCACACAGGAGGTACATCACGGAGTAGATAAACATAGAGTGGGGATATACAACAACTAGGAGTAGATATAGATAAAGTGGGGATATACAACAAGGAGTAGATATATATAGAGTGGAGATATACAACAACAAGGAGTAGATATATATAGAGTGGAGATATACAACAACAAGGAGTAGATATATTTAGAGTGGGGATATACACCTTCACGGAGGAGATATATATAGAGTGGGGATATACACCATCACGGAGTATAGATATATAGAGTGGGGATGTACACCATCACGGAGTAGATATATATAGAGTGGGGATTTACACCATTACGGAGTAGATATATATAGAGTGGGGATATACACCATCACGGAGTAGATATATATATAGAGTGGAGATATACACCATCACGGAGTAGATATATATAGAGTGGGGATGTACACCATCACGGAGTAATATCTAAAATATCTATAATAACTTGTTGTAAGGGACTGTAAGCGTAATTTTAGCCCTCCATGCAAAGATGACAATGCCCAGTTAACAATGGTGCCCTTAAAATCTGTCTGATCAAGTTAAAATTATGTATCAATGTTTTTGTTTCTTTAAATTGTATGCGGTTTCTCTCTGAAAGGGACTTGAGCATTTCTTGTTTAAAAGAAGCAATGGAGAAACTCATAGAAATAAATACTTTTTGAGTCAGATGAACGACGGCAAGGTACTAATGCAAGGAAAGTTAATTGCGGTCGCGTATACTCTGCAAACATATTGAGACCAGTTCTCTCTGGGCGGAATTTGTAAACAAGAATAGATGCCTCAGTGTTCATTTAGTATGCCAGGAGGATAAAAGCATTTAATTTTGATAATTTCGAAAATTCACATAAAAGTTTCCTTTGACCAGAATATTTCATAGATTTTTTTTGTGAAAATTGATTCCATATCAGGCTGTGTCATCCGTCTTGTGTTTACTTTTCTACCCAAAGACAGTTCACTGCAGAACAAAAAATGCGTACACCTTTGAAATAACTTTCATTGCATTAGTACCTTTAACGACGGTATCTTCCAAATCTTTGATCAGATTACATTTTCATGGGTACTGTTGTAAATCGGGCATTGGCATCTTTTAATGGAGAGTCGCTTGAAATTACGCTTACAGTCCCTTTAAATTCTTTTCGCTATTTCAGAACATGCCCTACTTCCGAAGGAGAATGGTGTATGAGATAGTGAAGAACAACCTTATGTATCCTTGAATACGTAAATGTCTAAACAGCATGCTAAACCACCAATTTGTATTTGTGAACAATTAAACCAACATTTTTTAAGATAACTTCTGAAGACAAAATTGATATATTGATACGAATGCCTTACATTGTAAATTTGAAATCAATTTTTCAAATATATATTAAAATTGATTTGTGTTAAACATCAATGTCATGTAGTTACTCACTAGCATGGCTCTACTTACAGTCGTAGGTTTTCTTTGTAAGAAACTAATTTTAATTATGATAAAATATTTTAGATTATTTAAAATGTCGGGGGACATGCGGTATCCCGCTTTACTTGCTATGGCAGAACAGTTTAGGTTATACTTTTATATGGATAGCATGGGCAAATTGATAAAAATGATGTTTTTCTCATCATTTTTTTTAGTCTGAGCTCATTTGACCATTTGTAGGTCAAATGTGTTTATACTAAAGTGAGAACCATTAAAATGTGGCATAGGAAGACGACATTTAAGTTTCAGAGCAAATCCTTTTACCTAAACAGCTTAAAAACCGCTTATTATATGAAATGGGTCTTGGTTCAATTCACTCTGCACAATTGCTGTGTCTTATGTTCACAGAGCCCGCGACTTAAAAACTTCGGCTCAAGCCGTAATTCCTTAAACCCGACTTCAAGACCCAATCTTCAACTCAACGCTGACGACAGCTTGTGTCAAGTGATTGACAGCTGCATGATTTTCGGCTCGACTTAAGGAGTATAGGCCCAATGAAAATAAAACCGACCTTGGTTGGATTTAGTGAAGAATAAGGCTCAATGTTGAGTATTTTCTCATAAAAACCCGGAATGCGTCAATTCCTACTAAGAAAATCCGCAAAATAGAATATTCAACCGGGTTTTTGAACTAAACTCTGTGGAAAAAAAGATTCAGCTTGAATCCGAAAGCTCAAGTCGTAAATAAGGCCCAACGACAGCAATTAGACCCGAGCCATATTTTCCCGAATTTTTTAAATCGCAGGTTCTTGACTATTTAAGATCATAACTCGAGTCTTAAAGTCGTCTTCCCATTTCACAGTTTTCCGGTGCTCACTGTAAATAATCTCACTAGTCAGTACTTGATATTTGTGTTTTGAAATTAAAAGCTGTCTATTAACATAAATTGGTTATTTTTTTTCTTTGATCTGGATCCAGGAACCGGTTACGGATGTAATGTTAGTATTTTTTCCAGTTTTATATGGAATTTAGCTTGGGAACCTAGCGTTTCAAAGATACTCAATACTCATGGTTAATGGTTACTCCCGCCGTTTTCCCGCACGTGGTCCATTTTACCGGGAAACTAACTTTAACTCAAACCCGAGCTATGAACATTCACGTCGTTTTCCCGAGTTCCCTAATCAAAATTCTAGTCAAATCGGTCTAGGGGCTCAAGAGTTATGATCGGACATACAAACAAACAAACAAATGAAAACTTTATGTATATAGATACCGATAATAGTTTTTTTCAGGCTAAAGAATAACATGAAGGAGAGTATTCGTTGTCTGCACGCTGTATTCTCATTAAATCCGTCCCCAGACATAGGTAAAATACATAAATCCGTCTCAAGACATAGGTAAACTACATAAATCCGCCCCCAGACATAGGTAAACTACATAAATTTGTCTCCAGACATAGGTAAACTACATAAATTTGTCTCCAAATATAGGTAAACTACATAAATCCGCCCCCAGACATAGGTAAACTACATAAATCCGCCCCCAGACATAGGTAAACTACATAAATTTGTCTCCAGATATAGGTAAACTACATAAATTTGTCTCCAGATATAGGTAAATTACATTTAATCCCCCCAGACATAGAAGGTAGAGAACTGTATTCTCAATTCCTAAAGAATGAAGAATATATTCAGGTAAGCGCTACTTTGTCTGACAAAAATTAGTTATTAATTATGATTTTCTATTTAAAAATTGATTTATTCAATGGTTGTTTCTCTGCATAAGTGACGTGCGCATTTTTTGTTTCAGAAAAAAATGGAGAAATTGTCAGAATTTAAAAATTTTTAATTTAGAAAAACGACGATATCTTTGATAAGATATCGTCAAGGGTACCACTGTAACCCTCTTTAAATGGAAGGTCGCTTGGACATTTTAATGACAACCTTGATGTAATCAGTTTTTTATCATTTTTTAGAAATGCGTCATTTTATAATGTTTAGAGGCTCGTACCCATCTACAGCTTGGAAATATGCTGCGATTATACTCAAACAACTTAGATTTAGGTCAGTTTATCTTTTTGGACTTGTTTTGGTTTTTTATTTCCTCTGAAACATATCCAGAGCTGAAAACTTGTGGATATCGAGATCAATGCTTGATCTCCTCTTTTTGTTAATCTTAAGATTATCTTAATCTTTAGTTTGTATAAAGGAAAGTGTCAAAAACTTAACCAATCAGAGTGGCGTACGCACAATCACGATATTCAAATTAAGCGATCGGTATTAAGGCAATCCAATTCTAAAATGTTCAGATCTGGACAACGTTTCCTTCTAGACAAGTTTCAGAGCTCAATCATCTTCATGATTTTATGTTATTTTTTCCTTAATTATCCCATTCTTGCATCGACCCCGATCCTCACACCTTTCTCTCCCTTTCTAAGCCCCCCCCCCGTTGCTTATTCAGAATTTTTCATTTTTTGTTAAATTAACAAAAAATGTTGATCAATCTCGTAATTTTTTTTTAGTTTTTTCCTGTTTTTATTAGAAACAAGTTCATTCAGTTCTTTTCTGCTTTTCTTTCTTTTAGATTATTTACATTATTTGTCATTTGGGAATATTCTGTGTATACTGTATAGTTTATAATCCATTTATTTTCCAATCTTCATTATTTTTATTAAGTTTCTTTAGTCCCCATTTTCTTTTTTTATCTGATTTGATTTCATGATCAGGATATTAATATTATTAATAATAATAATAAACTAACAATATGTTTCAAACTAGATTGGGGGAACATTAAAATAATGTTGGCATTGAATTGTGTATATATATCATAAAAGGGAAATTGTACACAAGTACAATCCTTCTTAGACTGTTTAATAAGTGTAATGATGGTGCTAAACGTGAAACAAAAATCACAAGTAAAAGTTCAAATCAAGCTAAAAAGTTAAAAATGTAACAAAATTGCTGAAGATATGGGGGAAAACGTTTTTCTTCGTATATAGATCTAATTAAGTACCAATGTATTTCTGTCCATTTGAGATTATTTTTTTGCTGTCTAAATTGATTTATATTCGAATATTCAAGCCGGTTCCCGTGTCAATATGCTTTTCAAAATTTTAATCTTCACCACTTATCATAAAACCCTATTTGCGGAGGCCACTGATTCATCGATTCAATATACCTATTTCTTCCCTGAATACACCTTGCTTTGCCGGGACGCCTTGTTCCGAGAGTAGCACGTTCGATTCACAACGGTACCTTAAAAAATATCCATCATTATCTTTTTGAAGATTTATTTTTTTCAAACGTTTTGTCTAGCCGACGATTTCTTCAAAATCATCGATCAGATAGAGGTCTAAATGGTGCCGTTTTGAATCGAACATGCCCTTCTTTAGTAGAACGGTCACTTGAAATATCGTTCTCAAATCACAGTTCCTTTAAAATCTATTTGTTTCAGCAAAACATCACCTAGAGCAGAGTTGGTATCAAGGTCAGAATGTTCAACCTGATCAGATCATGCTTGAAGCTGCTTCAGTCCTAGCTAAGTAAGCTATATTTAGGATAGGGATGGGGATATAGTCTGGGATAGGGGCAGGGAAATTAATGTATAGGATGTATGAGAAGGAAGGGAATACAGGGAACTGTAAGCAGATCCTTGATCGTGCACTTCAACTCTCATCAAACAATCCACATTGGAATTCAAGACTTCTGTTTCAGGTTTAAATATATATAATTCAAAAATTAGTTTGTGTCATATTCATTATTAGAATACTGTAGCGTAATTAAGAAATATATTGACGCCCTTTTTCAAGTAAATATGTTTGGGTTTAATTTTTTATTTTAATGGTAACATTTTCTTCGTTTATCATTAGAATTAAAAATTGTCCTGTTCTTCTCATGTGCCGATTTTCAAGATTTAACATTTTGTACTGCCTTCGGCCTGTGTTATAAGAGATATCACAACAAAGTTGGGTCTGATCAATTCAATTGAACACAAACAAACAAACAGACAAGCCAAACTTATTTATAATTTGTCATGTATTAGATTTCTGCAGGAGTCCATATAATTCCATTTCTGATCCCAAATGGGATCGGGGTTGAAAGTACATTTAGGGGGCATGAAAGTACACTTTATATGTCATTGTGAACTTTAACAAGTTTTTGTGTACGTGTACTAACACTTCAGAAATGTGTACTGCATTTGGGGTGTTAAAAGATGTAAATATTAGTATTTAATATAAGAGATAAATTAAGATATACAGAAAAATAAACACTCCCTTGCAGTAAACATTCTGCAGTATGGAGTTTGTTCTACAACTTGACAACTTCCAATTGTTTACAATAACAACATGGTTTTTTTCTGCCCCTAATATCAATCAATCAACATTTGGGATTGATCAGAGAATCTTATTTTAGATTAGATTTTATCAAAAAAAATATGTTTCTTGTTTTTTTCATAATTTGCACTTTGATAATTCCATTAACTTATTTGATTTATTGGATGATTTATCGTTTTCTACCGAGCAGTGCATTTCCCGTATAATATGATTATCCAGGAAATCTTGTCAGGGTTTGATTTATATCTTGCAAAACTAAACCAGAACATTAGTGAAAAAATATTGAAATTACGCTTAAAGGGACTGTAAGCGTAATTTCTTGTGACCCTTCATACAAAGATCGCAATGTCCTATTTACATCGGTACATTTGAAACCTTAATTTGATCAACAGTGTGGAATATACCGTCTTTTTTCTGATTCAAAAATTGTTTTGATTCTGATAAATTCGTATTTGATTAGACAAAGGTTTTTAAGGGTACTGTTGTAAATCAGGCATTGTCATCTTTGATTAAAGTTTTATTTGAAAATATGCTTTTAGTCGGGCTTAAAACGTGTATGGCGTTAAATAAAATAAAATATATCGAAATCAGAGACCAAATTTATTAGAGGTCTCTGATTTACCTACCCCGTTGCCAGCTCAAATCCTGAATCAACGATTCAAAGTTAATGATTTATGAGAATTTAATTAATAAATTAGAGATGGTCTCGGCGATTCATGATTTTAACCGGCAGTAGGTAGTTAAGCGATCTCTCTCCACTCATTAAATCCGCTCCCAGGGTTCATCTGGAGACAAAGGTCAACTAAAATTTCAAAATCCCTTGTTTTAGGCTGCTCAGCTTCACATTAGTTTAAAGGATTATCTACCTGCGTACACCTACCTGCAAGCAGGTCAGCTGGGGTAAAATTATAAAATCAGAGTCCGACCCCATCTTACGTATAACAGTTCTAGTTATGAGAATACAATTTAGGTTTTTATCTATTTTCCGTACATAGAAAAACACGAAACATTTTCTAGTTCGCTTTAAATCTAGGAAATCATGATTCAAATAATCCAGAAATCTTCCCAGCCCTACAACTACAAAATCATTGATTTTTTTCAACAATAAAAAACTTCTAAAAATCTCTGTTTTAAAATTTGCAAACTTTTTATGCATAAAATTCGCATATTCTAATATTTACCTTATCAATAAAAAGCGAACGATTTTCCCTTTATTTTTTTGTTGTGAATTAATCAATCAAAATTTAACTATATCTCCATGTTAGAAAGGCTACACATAAAATTGCTTAAATTAAGAATGAAATTATGATAAATTACCTAATCTCTCTTTATGAAGAAAGCTTCCTAGAATTTAAAACCCTCCATTTTTTTTCATTAACTTTATTATACTTTAAATTTAATACATATACATACCGTGAGGCATTAGATGAGAATAATAAACATTTTAAAAACTTTTTTGTTGAGTAAAATAGAGTATTTTTAAATGATAAAAGATTTGAAGAGTTTTTGAAAAAACGTTGTTAAAAAATTATAAATAGGATGTTGGGACATTTCATAGAAAGACATTTTAAAGATGGGCCTTTCATGACATGGCATTACAAAGACAGACATTTTATTGACATTACATTTTTTAGATAGGACATTTTAATGATAAACATCTCAATGATAGAACTTTTCATAGATAGGGCATTTATATAAGACATTTTATTGATAAGGCATTTCAATGATAAATTACATTTCCTAGACAATGAAAATTTTTCAAAGAAAGGGATAATTATTTCTTTTTTCCAAAATGATCATGATAAACACTGTTATTTTATGAAATGAGAAAACTAATTTTTTTGTCTATGAATTGTCCTTTGATCCATGAATGTCCTTTCTATACAATATTTTATCTATTTTCTTAGATATTTTTCTGTCCCATTTATAAAATGTCCTATCCATGAAATGGCATGTGCATGAAACATGTTATCTATGAAATGTTATAATGAAAATCTTTTCTATGAACGTGTTTCTATGAAATGCCCTAACCATGCAAATCCTATCTATGAATGTGTTTCTGTGGAATGTCCTAACAATGAAAATCCTATCTATGAATGTGTTTCTATTAAATGCATTAACAATAAAAAATCCTTTCTATGAAGTGTTTCTATGAAATGTCCTAACAATGAAATCCTATCTATGAATTTGTTTCTATGAAATGTCCCAACCATGTCCATAGTCAATTTGTCTTTTGATTAAAAGTTCGTGTTAGATTGAAAGTTTTTTTCATTTATAAAATTAAAAAACAAAGAATACGTTAAAAGTTTAATTATTTGAAACCAAATATCGTAATTATTAGACTATAAAAAGTAAAATTTTAAAATGAAAACTATAACCTCTATTTATATTCATTATTAGCCCAAATTAATGAAATTTAATGCCTCTGACGTTTTTCATTTCTCAGCATCATATTTTTAAATTGTCTTCACAAACTGCTTCCATTTTAAATTTTGATGAGAATTAAGGTGAAAAGAATACTTGATGAGATTGGGGTGTAGATCATAAATAAACATATTTCTTGTTATTTTTATTCTTTTTTTTACAGATAACTAACAAAAAACTGGGATCTCAAACAGAAAAAATAATGACATGTTGTTCATAATATCAAATAAATAACCAATAAAAAATATTTGAATTGAGCCTTTGTCATAAACTCAAATTTTCTTATCCCTACATCTTTGAAACCTTCAATACTTCAAACTTAGATTAATTGACCTAACAGAATTCATAGTTTGGCGTCTCTTAGGTCTACGACATTGTGTTGCAAAGAGATATTGATTAGAAAATCAGCGTTTGTGCGAAGTCTGAATTCCTTTCGTATAGTCGTAAAGTTTAATTGTGTGTGGGTAACCCCTGTGTATTTAACTCTGATTGCTAATTATGATATTTATGCCAGGTATTGATTACTGTGGTATGAACTCTAGGTACACCAGGTGTCTCTTTATCCTCTCCAAAACCATGCTCTTCCTCTCACACAAGAAGTTCAACGAGGCAAACCCTCTCCTCCAGATGGTAAGGAAGGGGGGGGGGAATATATTTATATGTTTACTAAAGCTGGCCAAACCTCTGGACCAAATTGACTCACATTTTTTGAGAAACTTGGGAAACACCGGGTACATCACCTAGCAGTGGCGTAAAAAGGGGGCTTATCGGGGTTATTTACCCCCCCCCCCCTAGAATCCTGGGGGTAATTACCCCCGAATCTTGGAGGTAATTACCCCTGAACTATTCAGGCTCTGAATAGCGAGTTGTTACTTTAGTTTGTTTTTGTTTTTTTAAAAGTTGATTTTAAAATTGAATAAATTTAAAATTTTCACGAACATAATTTAAATGTGCAGACACTTTAGAAATTTCAGATTTTAAGTCAACATATTCGAAATGATTCTAAATTCTAAAGTAATAGTCAATGTCATTATAATTAGATGTTTTTTTAATAGAAAAAAGAGTATGGGCAATGAAGAATACATTTTTTTACTTCTAAATAATGTCATTTCCATATTAGATTTACTTAAGATCTAACATACTACATTGACGACAAGAAAATTTTAGAAATTGAAATTAGAATATAAACAAAGACAATATTTTTTCAAAGTTTTGCAGAGTAGCTTTTCTAAAGATTTAAAAAAGTAAAATCTTTTTCCTCTTTAAATTCAATTTTTTACAGATCTTTGTAGTTAATGTAAAATGAATGACTATAATGAAGGATATAAAACAAGTTGAAAGCTGAAAGAAAGGAAATGAATCCTTCATTTGATGGAGTTTGTAAATGCCAGAAATGAGTGGAAAATGCGAATCAAACCCAACTAAAACCAATAATTTGATTTACATCATGATTTTTTTCTAGTGGGGGGGGGCGGTTTATGTGTTTTTGTGTTTATGTGGTGTTGATGCTCAGGACTCCTATTGGAGTATAATGAGAAAAAAATTCGGCGCGCTTCGCGCTACATCAAAAAAATTTACCCCCCCCCCCCCCTACAGAATCCTTATTTACGCCCCTGTCAGCTAGTATTGTATATTCTCGTTATACTGATATTTTAAATCCTTGTCTAGGTCAGTCCTGAGATTGAAAACTGGGTTGCTTCCGCCACACATCAGGTAGTTACATCATACACAATCCAGGGGTATGTATTTTATTTTATGTTATATGTCTTATTTTATGAGTTTTGGGGAAATGACTATTGAATAAATATTAGTGGACAACAAGGAATTTTTAAAAGTAAGTGGTGGAAAACCTAAGCCTTGTCAGTTGATTTCCAAATTTTTTAAGAGATCATTGAAAATACAAAATACAAAATACAAAATACAAAATACAAAATACAAAATACAAAATACATTTCTACGAAGTTAGAAAAAGACTTAACTTATTCGAAAGTTTAATACTTCCTCCTGTATTGAAGTAACTTTATTTCCAGCTTACAAAGCGGGCAATTAGCCAATTAGCCTCAAATGGACCGCTTCGCTTTTTTAGTTGGGGCATAAACAGTATACGTTACGGATATAAGAAAATGTATAATATATAAAATGTAGATAAAATATAAAAATAATTTATAAAAAGCATTATTGTAACAGAAACTCTAAATGTGATGAGTAAGGTTTCCTAAAATTCGATTTGCACTAAATAAAGAAGGGATTACAGCTGTAAATATTTTGACCCCCCCCCCTCTCAGTATTCACGTTTCATAATGAAAACTTTAAAGTTAAAGAGGTCAAGGGTTCAATCCCTAAAATCAGCTGACTAGTCAAAGGTTGTAAATCTACACGAATCTGACCTAATCCATGAGAAAGTGACTAAGAAACTTTATTTTTTTTTCTCCTTTCTTCTACGTATTAATTTGCGGATTTCTTGATACCTTTGTACCGATAGCTAAATGCATAACATCTAGCTATCTATATATATATATACTTTGCTTGTCTGGGTGTCTGTCTGTTTGTTTTCTCTCCGTTTGTATCCATGCAATAAACGTCAAAACGGTTGAACCATATGGGCCCAAATTTGGCGTGGAACTTCACATGACCCCAGTGAAGGTTTAAGGAACATGAACAAAAATTTTCTTGTAAATGTGCCAATTTAAAAAAAGAAAAAAACCACCAAAATTGTTTTCCAATTAATTTAAAAAAAGTTTATTTGCATCATACAAATAGCTTTTGTTGGACTTCAACTTTCAAACAGAGGTGTTTATTTTCCTAACAAATCATTTCCCCTTTTAAAAATCATTTTTCCCCCAGAAGTTATATATGGTATCGCAGAGCGCAAATTCTTTTTATGGTTTTTTCGTAGAATTGGGGGAAAAAAAATTATTTTTTGGGTATGAAAAAATTTGCCTTTTTATGTCCCATTTTCATTTTTCTTCCGAAATTCATCAAAATCATTCCCCCCCCGTGGGGGGGGGGGGTAATTCTGAATAATAAATACCCCTGCTTTTATGTTAATTCATATTTGTGCAAAATTTATGCTATCTGGCCCCAGTTTGCAGTAAAGCATAGAGATTTGATAAAATTAGATTAACCTGTCAAAACCTGACCTTTTCTCCAGATTAAAGGGAATGTTGTTGTAATTTCAAGTGAAATTTCATTTAAAAAGGGACATGCATGATTCATAATGCTACCCCCTTAAACATCTATCTTGTTAACATTATTGATGATATCGTCGTTTTCTAATATTTTTGTCTATTGGGCATGCCATGCTCTCTAAATGGAGGTTCACTGACATATCAGGATTACAGTCCCTTTAATTTGATTAATCTAGGATCAAAGCTTGGTCCTGGCACAAAAGGAATATCTTCAAATCTTCTACCTTGTCCTGCAGGTTACACAATTAGCTTTATTCATACAGGGTTTAACGGATTTTGGTGGTGTTGAACGACGAACCAAAATCTGAAAAGATTTCTTTTTCTACAGGGTTGGTAAGAAAGCGATATTTTCGATGTTTTGGGCACAATTTCAAAAAAAAAATATTCGGATTTTAGACTTAAAAAATAAAATGTGACAAAAAATTCCAACATTTTAAACGCACTTATCTGTCATATGAAGACCAAATATGAAGAAACTTTATTCATAAAAGTTTTAGAATTATACATTATGCGTAATATTGCTTTTAAAAAAGATAACTCGTTTGCTGTCCAATTTGGATCTGTAGGTCATTAAATTAAGATAACTTTAGTTCTATTATAATTACTCAAATCAAATGTATTATTATGAAAATGCACTTTATAGAGTAAAGCCAATTATTTGCATTTTTGAGTCATATTAGTTCTAAGGTTAAAATTTGATAACATTTACTGCAGATTTCCAATCTAAATTTTTGCGGATTTTTTGTTTCATCGCATTTAATTTTATTGAATTTTTAGAAAACAAAAGAAAAAACATTTTCCCAACAATTTAAAAAATAATTTGTTTTTGCAACAAGGTTTTACGGATTTTTTTAATGTTTAAAAAAACATGTTTAAAATCCGAAAAAACTAAAATTTTGAAAATTTTGTCCAATATATAGATATACTCTAAATATATTTTATATGTTCACTATAGTCTATATGTACTTTATATTTTCCACCTAATTGCTTTATACTTATACTGTTAATATAATCATCAATTAGTAATTGTAAACTCGTTCTGTATACAGATACATGTATTTTAGCAATAAACTTTATCTTATCTTATCTTATCTTATCTTATATATACTCTGTATGTACTCTAAATGCACTCTTTATGTACTCTAAATGTACTCTAAATGTACTCTAAATATACTATATATGTAGCCTATATGAACTCTAATGTACTCTATATGTACTCTATGGTCTTTTTACTCGTAATGTTCTCTAAATGTACACTAAATGTACTCTATATGTATGCCATGCTCTTTATACTCTATATGTACGCCATGCTCTTTGTACTCTAAATGTACGCCATGCTCTTTGTACTTTAAATGTACTCTAAATGTGCTCTATATATACTCTATGATCTTTTTACTCATAATCTACTTTAAATGTACTCTAAATGTACACTTTATGTACTCTAAATGTACTCTAAATATAGTTTGTATGTAATCTACTGTATGTACTCTATTCAGGTATGCTACTACCTGATGGTGGGTCAGGTGAAGTCCTCCAAGATGATCTTGAAACAGCTGCAGGGATCTATTCTCACTGTAACATCTCCAGACTTTCACAAGGAAGCTAACTTCGCCAAGGAAATTATGATCTCAATTTCTTAAAAACACAATCAAGCACAGGGATCCAGATAGCTATGAACATTGCAAAGTGTGCTTGTTTTTAACTTCTTCGTTTTGGTTCTCTGTCATACACATTACACATATTCGCTCTATTTGGGCTTAAAAAAAGATTGTGAAATTTTGTACGAAGGTTAAGCTCTATTTAAAAGCTAAAAATCTGTATTTAGACAAACCAGGAATTCTGGAAAACACTATTTGTTTTTTAGATATCTAACTAAAGAAAAGCGCTCGTATTTTGCGTACTACGACTAAAACCTTAACTTTAAATTTTAAGAAGGAAGAATTTCATATTTGAAATACTCTCGCAAAAATATTTCATTTTTTAACGTTTATCAATAAATTGGTTTGAAATGAAAATTTAAAATATTTTTTTTTAGAGTTTCTGATTGATTAATTCTTGTGTTATTTTTCTTGCAAGCATGAAATGTGTGTGAAAGGAAGTGTTGAAGTGTAAAGATTGAAAAGAAATGTTAGATTTATTTTAGAAATTCTCCTGAGAGCGATACAATAGAATATATGTATTTCTTGTAAAATAAAACACAAGCCCTTATATAATTTAAATTGTATATCTATTGTCTTTTTTCTACAAGATATAAGATAAAATTGTTGTCCGCAGATTTTTCTGGACTCATTGGCGGATATTTATTTTATAAAATCGACATTAGTTTTGAGGCAAAACTTTTTAATACTTACTGCCCGTGAAGTTATTTATCTCTATTCATCTCTTGTCTTAACTTTTTTATTTCTTCTTAGTTTTATATTCCTATAACTAATTTCTCATATAACAGGAGAGGAGGGATGGGCCGGGGGGGTTGCCAAGGTTCAGAACGGTTTTTATTTCATTTTATTAATTTACTACTTTTGATTATGTAGTGAGGGGGGGGATTTTCATATCTTACTTCATATACCTTGTTTCTCATTTCTAAATGTTTAAAGGGTTATTTCTTCCTAAAATGCAAAGGTAATGGTTAACAATTGTAATTTAGCTCTACTAAGGCAGTTTTTGTATTCCCCTACACCCCCTTTCTCTCGCTCTTACTAGCCAATCTCTCAAAGGAATTGGGTTGCAGGCTAGCACTTCTAATTCGGAATTTAAAATATCTTGTTAGAAAATTGGATCTAAAATTATTTTGTTATGAGAGCTTGACAACGTTATTATCAATATGACATACTGCATTTCTACTGGAACCAACAATGTTTCAAAAGAAAGTCGCAAACTAAACTTTGCCAATCCTAATATCTTTGCGATCTGAGCTGAAAACTTAAAATGGGATATCCTTAGTCCCGATCGATTAATTAATCTGGAGATTAATAACAAGAGGAGAACAAGCATTATTTAATCTGGAGATTAAGAAAAAGAGGAGATCAAGCATTGATCTCGATATCCACAATTCTAAAGTTTTCAGCTGATAGTGTACAATTTTGCATTTTAAACTTAGATTATTTGATTTAAAAGAATTCATATTTTGAAATATTAAAGGTCTACGACAACGGGTTGCAAAATTATAGGGATTAGAAATTTTCAGTTTGTGGCAAGAACTCTGTTCCTTTTCTTCTCAAAGGAACTGAACACTTGCATTTAACTCAAATTTTCTAATCTTTTTACATTGATGTCTTTGATAATTCAAACCAATATGTTAGATCTAAAAATCATAGTTTGAAATATTAAAGCCACACAGTAAACACCAAAAGGTTTCAGAAAAAGAAAGGATAGAAAATTAGTGTTGAGTGCCTTTATTCTTTATGTATATCTTGATTTTCCATTCAAAAATGAAACCTCAGTACTCCCCTTTTGATATTGTACACAAGACCTGAGATAATGATAAACCCAGGATGTCCCTGAAGATCAGTTTATGTGGTTATCCCATGATCAGCTCTGCATTCTCGTCTACCTTATCACCGTCATGCACAGCATGCAGGTAAAATTTTGATCAGCATGCTGATATTGCTGCAGGTAATGTATTATATATTAGACCCATCATGCTCAGCATGCAGGTATTGTAATATATGTATAACCCATCATGCTCAGTATGCAATTGCAGGTATCTTAATATATATTAGACCCATCAGGCTCAGCATGCAGGTATTGTAGTATATATTAGACCCACCATACTCAGCATGGAGGTATTGTATTATATATTAGACCCATCAGGCTCGGCATGCAGGTATTGTAGTATATATTAGACCCATCATGCTCAGTATGCAATTGCAGGTATCTTAATATATATTAGACCCATCATGCTCAGCATGCAGGTATTGTATTATATATTAGACCCACCATACTCAGCATGGAGGTATTGTATTATATATTAGACCCATCATGCTCGGCATGCAGATATTGTAGTATATATTAGACCCATCATGCTCAGCATGGAGGTATTGTATTATATATTAGACCCATCATGCTCGGCATGCAGGTATTGTAGTATATATATAGAGCAAATGACGTGTTATGTCATAGATCAATTGACGCATAGAGCAGATGACATATAGAGCAAACGTCGTGATCTATGAGCTATAGAGCAAACGGTTAATAGAGTAAATGGCCATAGAGCAAATGACCATAGAGCAAATGGAAATAGAGCAGATGTCGTAGCGCCATTAGACCCATCATGCTCAGCATGCAGGTATTGTAATATATGTAAGACCCATCATGCTCAGTATGCAATTGCAGGTATCTTAATATATATTAGACCCATCAGGCTCAGCATGCAGGTATTGTAGTATATACTTGGACCCATCATGCTCAGCATGCAGGTATCTTAATATATATTAGACCTATCATGCTCAACATTCAGGTATTGTAGTTTATACTTGGACCCATCATGCTCAGCATGCAGGTATCTTAATATATATTAGACCCATCATGCTCAGCATTCAGGTATTGTATTATATATGTTAGACCCATCATGCTCAGCATGTAGGTATTGTATTATATATTAGACCCATCATGCTCAGCATGCAGGTATCTTAATATATATTAGACCCACCATACTCAGCATGGAGGTATTGTATTATATATTAGACCCATCATGCTCGGCATGCAGGTATTGTAGTATATATTAGACCCATCATGCTCAGCATGGAGGATTGTATTATATATGTTAGACCCATCATGCTCAGCATGTAGGTATTGTATTATATATTAGACCCATCATGCTCGGCATGCAGGTATTGTAGTATATATTAGACCCATCATGCTCAGTATGGAGGTATTGTAATATATATTAGACCCATCATGCTCAATATTCATGTATCTTAATTTATATTAGACCCATCATGCTCGGCATGCAGGTATTGTAGTATGCTAGATATACCTCACCCAGCAAGCAATTGAGTATTATTTACATTCGAACAGTCATGCCCAGAATGCAGGTATTTTAGTCTTGCGTTTTATCGTTATGCTTCTTATTATTCCCATCTTATCCAGAATTTAGATTAGAAATCAGAAAATTTAACTGAAAAGCTGTATGCAGGTTTGATTAAAATGTCAATATAGACACTTCACATTTTTACTTTCATCTTTTGAGGTTTTTCGTTGATTTTCAAGATTAATTTAATCTAATTTGATGATTTAATCCTCTCTGCAGTAGTGCTTTAAGAGGGAGATATCTTCTCTCACTGTTAAAATATATTTTCTTCAGTTACATTACAATACTTGTATTATACATGTGCCTTGTGCAATGTGCATGCATGTTTTGCACCCATAATTTTTCTTTTATGAAAAGCCAACCCTTTTAAACCCTTATAACATTAGATGTTATAGGTGTGCTATTTTTGAGAGAAATTCCATAATATTTAAGACTTAAGTATCATTAATGATCGAAATCATAAATAGCACTTACAGTGTATAGCTACTCTCAGATAGGGATGTTAATGTTTTCATTTTTTTGAAAAACGATCGTTTTTTTCGTTTTCCTATCGTTTTTTGTTTCGTTTTCCGATCGTTTTAAAAACTATCGTTTTTTAAAAAGTTTTTGAAACGATTGTTTTTAAAATGATCGAAAAACGATAGGAAAACGAAAAAACGATCGTTTAACATTCGTTTTCAAAAACGATTAACAACCCTACTCTCAGAAAAATCTAAGGGCAATGAACTGAGTTTTTTTTCCACAAAATCAGCTTTTTCCACAAACTCAGCTTTTCTAATCCCTATATCTTTGCAACCTGGCGGTGTAAATCTTGATATTTAGACTACTTGATCTACGAGAATTTATAGTGTGTAATCTCTAAGGTCTACAAAATCAGGTTGCAAAGATATAAAGATAAGAAAATCAAAGTTTGCGGCTAAAACTAAATTCCTTAAATTCGCCGAGCGTAGCATTATTTTTTTATTTCTTTCTAGAATAACTCTTACATGAATTCAATCCGTTTTCTCTTAAATAACATGTATTTACAATTAATGTTTTTCTTTCAAAAATAACACGCACATTCTATGTTTATAACTTCCAAAATAACACTGATATTTAGTAGTAGTCTCAAATGAACGGGAATGGGGGTTGACTGCGATTATCATCATTATTTGAACATAATTAACACAGACGTCGACTATTTATTTTAATTGTTAAATCCTCCCAAAAGATTATCTTTCTCTTATTTCATAAGAGGCGACCAACAGCTTTGGGTTTAAATATTTTAACTTCTAAATTCTTAACTCTAGTGTTGGGCACTTAGCTCCGCTCCATTTTCAAGACCTTAAAGGTTTTTGGACTATGAAAAGGTTCCACGAAATTTTGAGAAGTTTTACAAATTTCAAAAATGGTTATTTTGTACATTTGCTATTCTTACACTATTTCAATTGTGAACCTTTTCTCTTTGTACACAATGTAAAACAAAAACAACCAAATATATCGCGGATTTTATGAAAAAAAAATCGTGGATTTTCCAAATTTTCAAAAGTCTAATTCTGTTAAAGGCAACTTTTTAAAAATTCGATCATCCATAGACCTTTCCTGGGGCCACGTGAGGTCCCACTAAAAATTTGGGCCCGATTTTGACGTTTATTGAATACAA